ATACCATAGCGCTTAATAAACCTGGCAGGGTACCCATTCTGCCTACAGATGCGGAAAAGATATCTTCTTTCCTGCGCCCTAGCTTTGGCTGAATTGCAATGTGAGTCAACCCTTTTAAAAAGGGTCCTAACACAGCTGATTTTGTGAGCCACTGGGTGATTGCTATGGTAGTGCAAAATCCTATCCGTGTGTGTGGGTTAGGGTTAGGGTTAGGGTTAGGACCTCCAAGGTCCCTTCCCACTGTTGTTCTGTTCTGTTCTAAATAAGTAACCAAGAGGTAACAACAGCAGACCAGAAACGGTATAATATGAATCATGTGGGCAAAGAGGAATTAGATAGAGGAAAAGGAGTGGGCAGGCAAGGAGGAGGCACTGATGAAAGAATATGAGGATGTTGGGGTACAAGTTCTGCCCCTCTTATATTTGCAGAATTTGTGGTAAAATGGCACAGTGCTCTGTTTGTCTTTTTGACAAAAACCACCAAAACTATAGACACCCACAATTACAGTATGTCAAAGGGTTGAGAACCTCCTCTTCTTGCCTAACTTTCCAGGAAGAAGTGTACCCAGTTACGCAATGTAAGAGAAACTTGAAAGTCTGCCAAACCTGAAATGATTTTGTCAGAAGTATTTCTTTGTTGACTAATCAATTTCACGCCTTCCAAAGTTTCCTTCCTCAATAGGAGAAGTTTCTTCTTTTTAAAGCTAATTCTCTGGGAGATGAAAAGTTTATTTTTTATATTGTATTGTTAAGCCATTTGGTATATTGTTGAAGGTGGCATAGGATGTTGCCAAGCATCCAATTTTTGATCACATGACCATGGAGATGCTGCAATGGTCGTAAGGGTAAAAAATGGTAATTAGTAACTTTTTTCAGTACCTGTTGTAATTTTGAACGGTCATTAAATGAACTGTTGTAAGTCAAGGACTATCAGTATTCCATTGTTTCATTGGCTTCTCATTTATCAGAAACATTTCCATGGTTGAAAATGCTTCTTTAGTGTTTATTACAGTTTGTGTTAATTTTTAATGTTCTTTGTAAAACTTTTAATAGCATTTAGAAAGGTAGACAGATGGATGCTAAGTAAGTACATGTTGGGTAGGTGATAAGTAGAATAGAATAGAATAGAATAGAATAGAATAGAATAGAATAGAATAGAATAGAATAGAATAGAATAGAAAGGGACCTTGGAGATCTTCTAGTCCAGCCCCCTGCTCAAGCAGGAGAACCTATACCGTCTCAGACAGGTGAATGTCCAATCTCTTCTTAAAAATCTCCAGTGATGGAGCACCCATGATTTCTGAAGGCAAGCTGTTCCACTGGTTAACTGTCCTCCCTCTTTGGAAGTTTTTCCTTAATTCCAGGTTGTCTTTGATCAGTTTCTAACCATTGTTTCTTGTCCTGCCCTCTGGCAGCTGTTCTTCGTATGTTTTAGTCTCCAGGCCTTTGATCATCTTAGTTGCTCTTCTCTGAATTCTTTCCAAACTCTCAACATCTCTTTTGTGATAAGGTGACCAAAATTGGCTGCACTATTCCAGGTATGGTCTTACTAGGGTTTTATAAAGCGGTAATAATATTTTACGTGATCTTGATTCTATGCCTCTGTTTATACAACCCAGGATTGTATTAACTTTTTTGGTTGCTGCTGCACACTGCTGGCTCATAGCCAAGTGATCATCCACTAGGATTCCCAAGGTCCCTCTCACGTTACTGTTTTTAAGCCAGGTCTCACCCAATCTGTATTTGTACCTTTGGTTTTTTCTGTCTAAATGTAAGATTTTGCTTTTCTCCACATTGAAACTCATTTTGTTGGATAGGGCCCGTTGTTCAAGTTTGTCAAGATCTTTTTGGATCCTGAGTTTGTCTTCTGTCTTCTATTCCTGTCAGTTTAATGTCATCTGCAAATCTGATGAGTTCCCCTTCAATTCTCTCATCTAAGTCATTTATGAAGATATTGAAGAGTACTGGGTCTAAGATGGAACCTTGTGGTACCCCATTGTTTACTTCTCTCCATGTGGATGTAGTGCATTGAGGATTACTCACTGAGTATGGTTTGTTAGTTAGCCAGCTATAGATCCATCTGGTGGTGATGTTATCTATTCCACCTTTTGCTAGCTTACCAAGGAGTAGGTTCTGATTTACCTTGTCAAATGCCTTACTGAAATATAAGTATACTACATCCACTGCATTTCTCTGGTCTATTAGTTTAGTCATTTTATCGAAGAATGAGATGAGATTGGTTTGGCATGATCTGTTTTTAACAAACCTGTGCTGGCTACTAGTTATAATTTTGTTTGCTTCTAGTTGTTCACGGATCTGCTTTTTGATTATGTTTTCTAGGATCTTCCTAGGTATTGATGTTAAACTGATTGGTCTGTAGTTTCCTGGGTCCATTTTTTTTCTCTCTTGAAGATGGGGACCACATCAGCCCTTTTCCAATCCTCAGGTACTTCCCTGGTGCTCCAGTGTTTATGAAAGATGTGGTACAGCAGTTCTGAGATAACATCTGCCAGCTCTTTCAGAACTCTGGGATGTAGCCTGTCGGGTCCCGGTGATTTGTATTCATCAATGTTGGATAGGTGTTCCCTTACCATTTTCTTGCTTATTTTAATTTTTGTTTCTAGTATGCCTTTTGCAATGGGTTTTTTTTTTTTTTTGTTATTGGGCTATAGTTTCTTTTTGTGCGATGACTGACGCAAAGTATGAGTTAAGCAGCTCTGCTTTCTCCCCATTGCCTGTAATTTCCTTGCCATCTTTTTTTTCTCTTTAGTGGGCCTACAGTTCCCTTGATTTTTTTCTTGGTGTTAATATGTTGGAAGAAACTTTTTTTATTGTCCTTGATTTCTGTTGCAAGTTTTTGTTCATTCTGAGCCTTTGCTTTCCTGACTTCATCTTTGCATGTTCTGGCTGCTGATAGTCGGCTTTAGTTATATGCCCCTCTTTCCATTTTTTGTATTTGTCCTTTTTGTCTTTTAGTTTGTTAGAGAGAACCATGCTGGTTTCTTCTTGGATTTTTTCTTTTTCTTTTTCAGTGGTATTTTGCTGGTCTATGTTTTTGTGATCACATTTTTCAGGGTTTCCCACACTTCCTGTGTTGTTTTTCCCTTTAGGATTTTCATCCATGGGATTTTTTCCTAGATTCTCTCTGAGATTGTTAAAGTCAGCTCTTTTGAAGTTTAGGACATTGGTTGGATTGTTGTCTATTGCTAGTGTTTGCATTATATTAAATTCCAGTATGACATGGTCACTTTTGCCCAAGGTTCCGGTATCACCTCTATCACTTCTTCTCTGTTTGTAAGGATTAAATCCAGTATAGCTTTACCTCTAGTTCCCTTTTGGGTGACAAAGTTGTCAGCTATCTTGGTTAGGAATCTGTTTGATCTCCCGCTCACTGCAGAGTTTGTGTCCCAGTTGTTATCTGGATAGTTGAAGTCTCCCATTACTATTGTGGTATGCTTCCTGCATGCATTTGTTAACTGGTTGGCAAAGAGTTCATCTATTTCTTCTGATTGGTTGGGTGGCCTGTAATATACCCCTATGGCCATGTCACTTTTTTTCTTTTATATTGACCCATATACATTCTGGAGAGATTTTATCTTTGATCATGTGCATTTCTGCAGATATGTAGTGTTCTCTTACATATAGTGCAACTCCTCCTTCTCTTTTTGTAGACCTGTTTCTTTTGAGCAATTTGTATCTATCAGTCCATTCCATTCATGGGTTTCATCCCATTAGGTTTCTGTTATGCCAACTATGTCATACCCTCCCCCATGTACTATTGCTTCTAGTTTGCCCTGTTTGTTCCCCAACAATTTTTGGAAAAAAAATGCAGATATTTCCTTCCCCAACAATAACATTTTGAATTGTTAAATATTAATTCTTAAGTAAGAAATGTATTTTCACATAATAGCGAAGCCACAACATAATGTATTGGGCTTGTGATGGGGTAGAAATATGATGAAGATCACGAGCTTTAGGCCTTCAATCTTTAACAAATCAATTGTTAAAGTAGTGTTTAAGTCCACCGATGAGTGGTACAATGGATAAAAGTGGCTGGCAGGCAGGAACTGTGAAGATAAGTGCCAACTTTGTTCAATTTGAGAATATATTTTCATCAATATAGCCACAGTCACCAGGTTGGTCCCAACTCTTGACAGGTCTTTGTGTGCTTAAGGTATTTTAATAGACTGGAAAGGGAGGAGGCAAGAGCCACTGTTTCTTGGCTTTCCCTTAGCATATTTGGTGAGGCCAGCTGTTGGGGTATATAAACCATAGTTTATAGCCTGTTGTGATAGGTAATCCTAGCCAATCATAGCTTTTATTCAACAAATCATGTTTAAGCATGCCATGGGTTAGAACAATGTGAGAACCTGGTCACTAAGAGAGTTTATGAATGTTTTCACTCTTCGTAACTTTGCAAACCTTTGGTGGAAGGTCCATGATGATATGTTAATTCCACAGGTCCTTCAAAATGCTGGAAAATTACAGTCTGGGTCACACTGGGAGGAAGCATTGCTTTGAATGTGGCCCTTATTGTTCTTCTGATAGGTAAGTATCTGAGATCAGGAGGGGAGTGGGTTCCAGAGATGGATTTCAATTGGAGAGATAAAAGCTCAAATCTTCATTAAGCCCTAGAGTCCAGCCAAGCCACTCTCTTCCACCAAATCCATTTCACAGAATCAGAATAGAGCTGGAAGGGACCTTGGAGGTCTTCTAGTCCAACTCAAGCAGGAGACCCTATAACATTTCAGACAAGTGGCTATCGTCTCTTCTTAAAAACCTCTAGTGATGAAAAACCCACAACATCTGAAGTCAAGCTGTTCCACTGGTTGATTGCCCTCACTACTAGGAATTAACCAATGGAACAGCTTGCCTTCAGACATTGTGTTGTGACAGAGTTGGTACTGTAGGAGTAAAATCTGGGAAAACTTTATGTGGCCCTCATTAATTCCAAGACTGTTCCTGAGCCAATCCCGTATTCCTTCAGTTCTTCAAAAGATAACAGGTGAATCTTTGACCATCAATGTTTCTATGTCATGGAAATGCTTTGTTGGTTGCGTTTCTGGATGTTAAGCTGATTCCATCAGCAGCATCTCCCTTACGTGATCTTGCTGTTTTCCACAAAACCACTAGACCAGTGTTGCATGGCTGTGCCTTGAGCTCCACCCCTTTTACACATGCTGCTGATGACACATTCTCTGTACAAAGTGGACAGAATTTGCAAAGTAAGTCTGGCCCCCCCACATTCTGATACCACTGGTTGATTCCCACTAGGTAGCTACCAGCTGCCCTGTTATATCTTTCTTTTTAAAAATTCCTATAGCCAGGAAGATTGTATTTCCCTAAAGGTTTGGGAGAAACCATTCGTTGACCCTTTAAAGTAGAGCAGAATAGAAAACCAAACTTTTGAATGCTAATATTACTTTTATTATATGATTACAGTAACAGAATCTTGCAAAATTGAATGCTCTTTATCCCTTTCCTCCCTTTATTTTCATGAAAAATAAGAAGGGTCCTGTCTGAGATATTTTATTAAATTACATTTATGTCTGGGATTTAGATTTTTTTTTTTTATCTGACTATTTCTTACTACATATTCCCCTCTGTTTAATAGCAACCAGGTCTGGGCTGCAAAAATCCTTGCCATTTCAATTATCGTTATTGGCATAAATTTCAGATTTATAAAATCCATTTTTATGATTGGGTAGTTCTTGTAATCTTGCAAACTAAGCTTCTATTTTGTATTTGCATTTTATATGCAAATGAATGATTTATGTTCTACTTTTGAACTGAAATAATGATTGAATATATATCATTTCCCATCGTATAACCTAAGCTTTTAAAAAAGTATTTCAGATACAAGGTGTTGTCTACCCATCGACTTCAACCAATTCGTGTGGATGGATCCCAGGTACTTTAATAGGTAATTTTAAATTATTTATTTTGAGTTTTTTTGTTGTTTAATTTTCTGAAGTCAGGAGTTACAATACTGATAGCCAAAGCAAATCAATGTAATTTATCCATAATTTAGAACAAAAGATTGATCCAGTTCTCTATGAATGTCCTGGAAAAGACAATCACAGCAACTTACACTTCACAATAGTAAAAAGCTGTAGTCACATGACACATGATTTTACTCAGCTACCCTATTTTTTAAGTTTACACAACACAGGCAAAGCCAAATATTCTCATAGGGCATCACACAGAGGTTCTGAACTCTGAGATATCATGACCCCAAGAATGATAAATGGATTTGTGAAATGTCTTTGGCCCCATAAATAAAATTATTTCATTGGGATTATTATGGCTGGACAAGAAATAAATAAACCCTTTAAATGGATCATAATTTAATTTATCTATACCCAATAAAACAGTCTTAGAATTTTAACAATTTTTTTTGTTTGCTTAACATTTCTTTTTTTTTTTTTTACAAATTTTTTATTAGTTTTTCAAATAAACATATGAACAAATAATACAAATATGGTGCATTTCATTAGAAAAACAAACACATAAAAAGCCTACTCAGTAAGTATTCAGAAATAATCGGTGGTTCCCCCCCTGCATCCACCCTCACTCCCTCTACCTTCCTACCTACTTCCCTCTTCCTTCCTCCCCCTCTTAACCACGACCTCTCCTCTTTCCTCCTTCCCAACTATCCTACACATCCCATTCTTGTGGAAAACGAAAGAACTCTTACGAATTCCGGAGGGGTTAGCAGAGAAGTTTAATTGCGCAAGGTCCAGAGCATATTAGAGATAGGCAATTCTGAACGAGGAGGGCGTGATTAGACTTCAGTTTTTATACTACCCTCCTTAAAGAACAAAGGACTACACATTGAAATACACACTGTGATACATTAGGAACAT